CATATAACTCAAAGGTTTCAAATTCAGCCTCCAGGTATGCGTTGTTCCCGCGTGCGTCCTCGTGAGATTTTTCGGCGGGAAAATGGCTAACTCGGGAATTAACAAAGCTAGGAGGCTGAACTTTTCATGGGACTTTCCCAACCCACGTACGACTTAAAGTTATCAAATTTAGCCCCCAGTCCTACGTAGATCTCACGTACGGCCCCGCGAAATTTTTTGGCAGGAAAGTGGCTAGCTCGGGAATTAGAACAGCTGGAAGGCTGAAATTTTCAAGTAATGTCCCTAGCACAAGTGCAACATAAACCTATCAAATTCAGCTCCCAGTCGTAAGTGGCTCTCATGTATGGCTCCGTGAGATTTTTTGGCGGGAAAATGGCTAACTCGAGAAATAGCAAAGCTGGAAAGCTGAAATTTTCAAGGGATATTCCCAAAAGTTATCAAATTCATCCCCGATGCGTGCGCCGTTCTCACGTACGGCTTCGTGAAAGTTTTTTGGCGGGGAATTGTTAAATTGTTAAACCGCTAAACGGAAATTGTTTATTTCCTTTTATGCAAAATTTGCGATAATTTACGGCATTGACGCACAGGGTAGGTGTGAAGAAACAACCGTTCATGCAGTTAACCTGATTACTTCAAGTGTGGTGCAAAAACGCTTGATCTCACCGGCTCGCCTGGTGCTTTCCAGCCTGGGTTTGCATCTTTCATACGTTTTTTGCATCTATGTAATGCAAAAACGCATATTGTTGGGGGATTGTCTGTGTGTGTATGTCTGTGTATGTATGCCTCTGTATGTATGCCTATGTGTGTATTTCTGTGTGTGTATGTCTGTATGTGTATGTTTGTATGTTCGTCTCTTCCGGGTTTTCATCTCAAGATCCACAAAAGCTACAAGGCTAAAAATTTGGCAACTTAATCTACATGTAGTACGGGCCCCACCCCCAAAATGGACGCTCTTACTCACGTGGCTTTCACGTATAGGCCCGTGAAAATTATTGGCGAGTAAGTTGCTAACTCGGGAACCAGAAAGGCTAGAAAGCTGGAATTTTAGAGAGTGTTCCCTGTCCACATGGAACCGGCGACCTCAAATCCAAGTCCCAGATATGCGTGGTTCTCACGTACAGACCTTGAAAATTTTTGGCGAGTAGGCTGCTAACTCGGAAATCAGAGGAGTTAGAAAGCTGTAATTTTAAGGGGATGTTCCTGTTCATGTAGAACCTAATGATTGCCATTGTGGTGCTTTTTCATCTTTTCCTATCTGCATTGTCTCAACTCTTTTTGCTGTCAGTGAACTATAAAATAAATCCATCTGCATGGGATATTACTCCTAAAATCATTTCAGATCGATGGTCCTACGTTGCTGATGCTCACAGAAGGTGATCTTCGTGAGAAACCGCTCGAGCTGCAGTGTCTTGGCGATATCAAACGTCTTGCCTCAGCAATATGCAAACTCAGGGCTCACTTCACACCAACCGAACGAATGGTTTGAAACTATTTAATTAACTGCAATTTTGGCTCTAAATTTTTGACAAAAATATCATGGGCTTGTGCAGTAAAAAGATAGCATTGCCTTTGAATAGCATTAGAATCAAAAAATGTGAGCTGCAACTACGGGAAATTCGAAATTACAACTTTTTGTGCAAAGAGCTTAGAAAATGAATGAAAAAAAAACGCATTTTTCGTAAGAAGAGGCTGAAATTAACACTGGAAAAATTTGACAAAGACTACATTTGCACTGGAATGTAGCGGTGCCATGCACAAGTAACGGAGATCGTAAGGCAATAAATCAAAAACGTATGAAAGGAAAAGCGCCGCAGTGATAAACATTAGGATCTACATGGACGAGGAACATCCCCTACAAATTACAGCTCTCAAACTTCTCTGATCCCCGAGTTAGCAACCTACTCGCCAAAAATTTTCACGACCCGTAAGTGAGGTCCGCGCATAACTGCGAGTTGGATTTGAATTCGTTAGGTTTCACGTAAAATTCTAGCTTTCTAGCTTTTCTGGTTCCCGAGTTAGCAACTTACTCGCCAAAAATTCGACGGGTTGAAAATGCGATATGAAGTAGCAGGTCTTGATAAGACTTGGTCCGGATTGAAAACAGCAAAAAGGTTATTGCGGGAATTTGCTCAAATCCAACCATCCCCTGCACATTGTTTCTCTTGTTACCGTTCCTGAAGCTCAGTGAGTCAGTTAGGTCGAAATTATAGGACTAGTGATAATTACATTGTCAATAATACATTGTTTATTAGCAGTTAATTTTGCCGTGTAGAATTTATATCAGTTTCGTCATCTACAGTTTTTATTGGAATTTGATTTTTTATTAACACCTGAGCAAATTCGAAAAGTATTCCTCAGTTGGTCGTGCAAATCATGGAGTGAATTGGCCGCATTTAAGAAATTTCTAGTTACACCACTGTTGAGAAATGCTTGAGTACTGTTGAATGAAAAGCAGTCATTTCATTTTTATTTCCGCTTTATGCGTTTTGTGCTATTTAACAGCAGTACAAAACGCATTTTGTCACGGGGTTGTCTGTGTGTGTGTGTGTTTGTGTGTGTTCGCAGCAACTTATCCGCAACTTTCAACTCGGAAACTGCAAAAGCTAGGAAGCTGAAAATTTAGGGGAACGTTCCCAGCCACGTGCGACCCCACAAATTTAAATTCAGCCTCCCCGTACTCGCGGGTAACACGTACGGCCCCTTAAAAGTTTGGGCAAGTATAATTATTATCATGGGAACCACGGAAGCTAAAAGGCTGAAATTTTAGGATAATGACCCCCCATGCCCACTTACGATTTTGCAAATTCAGCTTTCCCGCACCCTCCTGTATCAGCTACAGGTCAGTGGAAATTTTTGCGGGGAAATTATCTCGGGAACCATGAAAGCCAGGAAGCTGAGAATTAGAGGTAGTGTCTTCTGTCCACATGCAGTCCCACAGTTTTAAATTCAGCCTTACCGCTCGTCCAAATGT